TAAAAATAAAACAGATCATGTATTAGAATCTATGTAAATATGTTTGAACTAGTACTTTCTATTATATCAAAAATAAATTAGAATCTATATATATGTAAATATGCATAGCACCAGTCAATAATGTTATTCAATCAGTCTGCATTAGTACTCCCTCCTCATTTAGATCTAAATCATTGAATTGATCTTCAAGCTATTTTGATTGAGAAGAATTTGCTCTAATCCTTACTTGAATGATCTCTATTTCTTTATCAGTAAATTTTTCAAAAGACAATGGTGAAATTCTCCTAATTTGCTTGATCTCGTCTCTTTCTAAACCTTTTGTTTTGAATATGTTATAAATATTTTTAGCTGAGCTTTTTTTCTTGTTAAAGACATTATGGGTCATATCAAAGGGAATTGTCACTTAATTTCTACATTAAGCAAGATTTTCACAGTTTGAGTAGAATGAATAAATTTTAATTTAGCCAATTTCTTCTCCAATGCTTTCCCAAGAGGATAGTGTGAGTCAAGGATTTCATATTCTGTGTGAGATACTTTAAGTGTTTTTTCTTTAAGAATCTTCTCAGCATCAAGTATTTTATTGTATAAATCGATGAACACCATATCTGGAATTGTAGAGTTTACCATTTTCACATTTGTCATTAGCAACAGATTAAAGTCTTGTGGTCTGTTAGATAACTCTTTAAAAAATTTTTTAACCCTATCTTCTTCTTTAGGATTTAACCTTGCATCATCTTCCTCGTCAAGATAAATAAATTGTTGACAACGAAAACATATCATATCTTTTTTTAAAGAAATAATAATACATCTAAGATGGAAGTTATAAAGACAGGATAATTTCACGACTAGTTTTAGGTTAACTCTATTAAGTTCAAATAATGGATTAGATTAATTACATAAAGAACATATTTCAGATCCCTCTTGAGCAGAATTCCCTTGAGAATTGGTAGGTGCAGTAGGTTAAATCTTATAATAAAGGATATTTCTATTAATTATACTTTTATATTAAGGGTCAAATTCTTCTTCATCAGTCAATAGAATATGTGGAGAGGTATTATTGGATTTTTTTGATTCCATTAGTATTTTTTTTGAGATGCGATTTATGGGAAAAATATCATTATGAGTGAAAGAAGAGTTTTAATACTTTCTGAATACTCCATTCATGATCGTGAAATTATAACAACTGGAACTTGCTAGAAAAAAGTCTTTTATAAGTCTTTTTAGATAACAAAGGTCTTTATTATCAACTGAAAATACGTAATGAGATATTTTTGCCTAGACTTGAGTGGAAACTTTAGCATCAGACTTAAGATCTAAATTTATGTGACCACAGATATATAGTTTACTCGTATTATATATAGTTTACTTTATCAAAATATAATAAAGAATTTTATTGATTATTCAAAATATATGTATATCAAAGGTATCTAATATTACATATGTACCTTTGTATTCTATTGCTAGTTATAAAAAAAATAGCTAGGTTTATTAGTAAATAATGCTATTAATATATTGTTCACTATTAAAAACTAATTTTTGCACTTGAAATCAGCATTAGCATTATTAATAGTTACATTGATAACATTAGCGTTTTGGGAAAAAGAAGAGAGAATAAGTGTAATTAGCTTAGAAATTGTAGATATTTCAAGAGATGATGTGATTGATCTTGAAGTAATTAGGAGAATTTTTGACAATTTTAGACGTTTTTTTAGATGATAATGCAGCCTTATTCCTGTTGCTCGTCTGACCTTCTACTATAATTGATAGTAACATTGATTACATTTATATTTTGCAAAAAAGAAAGGATAGTTAGGATTATAGGTCTGGAGATATTAGATCTTTCAATGGTTGGTGTCATCAGTTTTGACGTTGTAAGTAATGATATTTCAGAAGAACTCATACTATTTGACCTAACATTTTCGTTATGTACCTGTTTGAATAGAAGTTCTAGTAAATAGTGATGGATATAATCGTGTTAATTTAGAAATAATCACTAGCTTATTTTCTATAGAAACATACTTAGTTTTAATCAGAATATCATTGAGAACTCTTCGTAAATTTCTTCGCTAATTAAACTTCTTTTCATTTCAGTACCTTCTTTATATTTTTTCACTGTCTAAAATAATAATATGCATTATTGACTGATCAGGTTTTCATAGAAGATAAGCAGAACACTACTTACATAAAAAACTTTCATAAGACCTAAGAATTTTTTATAGTAAGCATTACTAGTGAAGTAATTAGTATTTTCTTGATCATTAATTTTTTCTGTAATCTAGTTCCAAAAGAGATACTTCTTTTTATTTATAGTAGTGTAATACTTCACATTTCTATTTTTTTGTTCGTCAATGAGAATGCGAAGCTGGACATTAAAGAACTTCATAGTTGACTATATGGTAAGAAGATTCTCTATAACTATTATATAAAAAAAATATCGAGTGATATGTTAGGATCATTACAAGGTAAATTAATCAATCAATATTATGATTAATTAAATAATAACGGTGGCTTAGCTATCATGTCAATAGATCAAGAATAGTGAAATCTGATTGGCTAATTATCTCATGATTTATAGATACTTGCCAGCGTCTAGAACACTCCTAAAACTATTGAGAAACTGACAGAGAGCTTGTATGTGATATGCCTCTTATTCATGGAACTTTAGGGTGATAAAATTCAAGCTTTTCTCCTAAAGATCTTTGATCAAAAGAGGCCAAATCAAAAAAATCTGAATAAAAATGAATTTGATATTTATTAGAGTATAATATTGATAAATCAGCTAAAATCGATAAAAATACTATTAGTTAATAAATTGTTATAATTTGCTTCAATTCACTATAATTCACTAAATTACTAATTTATTAATTATGCTCTGTGCAATAGTTAAGATCATATTAGATAAGATTTATAATAAAACTATACTCAAACCTATCAATCTCTGCTTAGATATGATATCCCAATAAAAAATTTAATATAAAAATTCTATAAAAATATAAAGATTTATAATGTATAATTTTTATAGAATTTCGGTATAATATATATGTT